GGTGACAATACCTGTTGACAGCACCTAATCATAGACCGCATGTAATCCAGTTGTAAACCGTATGGTTTGTACGGGAAGTGCACTTCTATACCATCGATGACTATCGGCTCCCGAGTGTTGTCCATCAGATCGTCTTCGGGAGTGCGCGCGAGTGATGATAATGTCTGACACACCATACAAGTCAAGTGACCATCAGTTGGCAGATAATTGCCATCAATTGGTAATTAAATCAATGAAAACATCACAACAATTGAGATTCACGTGAAGTAAACGATTGTTTTTGTTTTGATGCGAAACTCAACATAAACTACATTACAGTCTACTCACGTTTTTCATGTACAAGTTATTTGTGCTAATCTGCTAATGGATTACAAGGATTAAGCGAGGAATTATCAGCGTGAATCCCAGTATGAACACAATCACTACTTACCATGGTCAGTTGGTCAATAATAATAATAATAATACGATATGATGTTTTGTATATTTCATGCATTTTTAACGAAAGTCGACTGTAATGTATATGTAATTATTGTTATGCAATGCATCTAAAGTTTAGTAAAATCATTTCAACACTATTTTCATACAAATTATCACAAAAAAAAGTTTATTAAATTGTTATCAATTATAAAAAGTTCATTAATTAATACAGTATTTAATGTAATATTTTGTTAAAAGATATCATTTTTGAATTAGAGAGAGAGAGAGAGAGAGAGAGAGAGAGAGAGAGAGAGAGAGAGAGAGNAGAGAGAGAGAGAGAGAGAGAGAGAGAGAGCTCTTTATGATTTAATAAATTCTAGTGTCTATTCATTTCAAAAATGGCATAAAAATAGACATTTAAATTAATTGTGAATTCAATGAATGGCAGAAAACAACAAAACAATAATTTGAATGCAGTATACGATCGGTGGACACATAACACGGGTTCACTGGTATACCGGTAACGGTATATAAGTTTATGTGGCATTACTGCCGGTAGAGTTAGGATGTGATTATGAAATGGACATATAATTAGCGGTCAATTGACGCGAATAAATGCGGAAATATTTTGGCCATTTTTGCGATAATATAACTTTGAACGACTATTTTCATGGATTTCAATGGCCTTCAGTTTAGCATTTGTGGACAACAGGTCCTCGAAGTCACTATCCATTAGGTTAACGGCTAAATAGCAATGAATGACAAGCGTTTGCAGCGCCGGTAGTCTTGAGATGTGTGACAAACAATCAGTTTTTGTCATGTAATCTGTGGTACGAATCGATAGGTATTGAAGTCGTGGACAATATTTGTCACAATTTTGAAGGAAATTAATTTCATTTGCCGATAAATCAATTGTTAAATGTGTTAATCGGTGGCAATGTCTCAGCGGTTCCAAAGACTCGACATCGAAGGCTATTGCGAGTGCTAAATGCAATCGTTTTAATTGCGAACACGATTTCAATGATTCCAATAATTCTTTATTATTTTCTTTTGACCAGTAGTTCAATACGAGTGACAATCGTTGCAATTGTTTGCAATTCACGCCAATTGCCAGTAAATAATCTGACACTAACAATTGGAAGTGAATGCTAAAGTCGTGTTCATTAATTGTATTAATTCTCAATTCTCGTAATCCTGGAAATTGTGACAATTGGTGACCAAATTGTGAGATATTATATTCAATCGAAACATACAATTCATTCACTACAAGACATGTGACGGACTGACTCTTGGCTACTAATGCGGGCAACTGTTTGTGTTCATCATTTGTCAATGATTTCTTGTGTTTCATTACATTAATTAACTCTAGTTTTGCGTCTAGTCGTGCCTTCATTTCCTGTGAGTCGTCGGAGTCTTCGGAGTCGTCGGAGTTGCTGCCGATGTTTAACATAGACATCACTTCTATGTGTGACAATCGTTTGCACCCAAGCATTAAGTTTCGCGAAAAACCTTCCAATTTGCGGACTCTTGTGATAAGTGATCCGTAACTATGAATCCATTGTTCAGTTTCGGGCATCAAATCGCAGTAAATATCCCGCAAATGTCGGCAATTGTCTCGAAATATGTCCAAAAAATGGGGAAATTTTATTACATATGTCTTATATATTCCTCGACAGTCAATGGTTTGAATGTTTGGACACTTTCTGGCAATTGTGGTAAAGAATCGAGTTTTGAACTCATTTCTGTGGTATGTTTTAAATATAAACGTGTCTTTAAAAGTGATATCCACAGCATTCTCAAAGACTGTCCTCTGGAACTGTTTGGACACACATTCGCACTGAAACCGATCTTTGATTGAGAGGTAAGACAAGAGAAGTGCACACAAATCATCACCGAATCTGTCCATTGAGTTCTTTGCATACATTTGTGGCTAAAATATGATAAAAATACAATTAAAACTCTATAAAGAGTCGACTATTAGTTAAATACCTGTTTGTTATTTCCATTGCTGTTATCTTTGGTCTCGAGTGATGTCTTCGAGTGTTTGGTCGGTTGTGTCATATCTTGGGATCAAATGAAGTGATTGTGTCAATAACCAAATATTTAATGAAATGTTAACACAGTTTGGTTACCAAACGTAAGCATAGCGTAGAGAAAGTGTAAAACAATTTTTGAAAGTATTTTACATTTCTTACGCAATGCTTGCGTTTGATTACATAATAATATTATTAGGCTTTAATGCAATCATTTTAAAACTATTTTCATACATTTTTAACACTAATTTTTTATTAGATTGTTTGCAATTAGAAAATGTTTATTAATTAATACAGTATTTAATACAATATTTTGTCAAGATTTTTAAATTAGAGAGAGAGAGAGAGAGAGAGAGAGAGAGATGAAAAAGGGACCCAAAAGGACGATGTGGTTAACCGACAAAAGTATTGTTTAAGACTAAAGTAATATAAATCACTT